ACAAATCCTGACATTACTTGACTCTGAATAATATTATCTATGGACATTATTTTTTTTTTATAAGATTTTATTTATTTGAGAGAGAGAATGAGATAGAGAGAGAGAGAGCATGAGAGGGGGGAGGGTCAGAGGGAGAAGCAGACTCCCCACCAAGCAGGGAGTCCGACATGGGACTCGATCCCGGGACTCCAGGATCATGACCTTAGCCAAAGGCAGTCGCTTAACCAACTGAGCCACCCAGGCGCCCCTATCTATGGACATCATTATTGCTCCTCTGGCCATTTCTCTCACTGTTTTAGCAAATCCTTAGTTAGTGCTCTTCACCTTTTCAGGGTTGTCCTTCCCTATAAGGCTCTGAGAAAAGCCTTGGGCCCTTTATCCAGAAAAGAATCACATCTCCTCATGCACAAAGCAGTCTCAAATTCCATGGGTGTTGGGAGCTCCTCATGGCCTGCAGTATCTTAGGTTAAGAACTGCTTCTCCACCATGTCTTCCTTAGTGTCAGGCTTTTCCCTTGCATGCTGTTTCAGATGTTGACACAGCTCAAGCAAGCACCCAGAAATCCTCCTTGCTGCCCTGTGACCCCCTGGCTCAGAGTTCAGGCTACTGCACAGAAAAAAAGTCACCACCGAAAAGAAATGTAGAGATAATTAGCTAGCAGCCTGTTCCCTGGAAAATCGTGCACTGTTGTCTCAAACAAGGTAATCACGCTCACCTTTTGGTCTTGGCTATATGCCAGAATCCAGTCCTCTTGCTTGGGGTGGAAAAGCAAGCTTTGGATGTAAAAGTTCAGCCGGTACTTTTGATAGGTGGCCCCTTCATCCGAGCTGATCAATAAGCTGCTCTCAATCTCCGGGTCTGTGAGTAACATAATCTGCAGCCAAGAATTGTTGGGGAAAGAAAACAACAAAAAGTTAAGTTTACAACTTTACAAGACTTAGAAATAAGCTAAATTTTTGGAAAGAGAGGAAAAAGGAGCAAAGAATGTTTGGTCAAACAAGGACCTTGACTCTGCTGGTTTGTTCTCCTGGACCAATGCCATGAAACTACTTAAAAAGAAAAAAAAAAAAAAGAGGCAGACAAGGTGGAAGGAAGGAAGAGGACACAGAGGAGTGCATTTTAGTTTCTTCTATGGGGCTCCTTGCTTTTTCCCAAGGTTATTTCCTTAATCTAAAATATGTCCCACTCTTCCCCTAACCTCAGTCCTCTCCTATTGTACCTTGTCTACTTTCCATTTTGGAGAAATAAAAGAGCAAGACTTGTCATAATCTGTTGTGGTTAAGGTGGAAAGAAACAGAAATAGGATGGGCTCCACTGGTTTTTCTCTGTTACCATAAGCCCTCTTACTTACATTAACACTATCCCCATATGTCATCCTACCTTCAGTCTGATTTTCTGAGTCTTGACTCAAAGGCTGGGCTTTCTAAAGCCTTCTCTGGAAATTGTATAAAGCTGACTTTGTCACCTTTTAACCTATTTTATGATTTCCTTTTTTATTTTGCTTATCATCTACATACTCCCTACTAGTCCATGAAGTCCATGAGAAAAGGGATATTGGATATTTCTTGCTTTTTCCGCCCCACAGGTATATTCCCAGCAGCTAGAGTAAAACCCAGCATATTTTATAGACTCCATAAATATTTTCCAAGCGAATGAATAAGTAAATAAATGAATGAACGAAAAGAGTTTTCAGAGTCATCACACGGAAGTAGAAAGACGCCCAGAACAGTCTGAGCGGGTATAAATGGGAGTGCCGTGGAAAGAGTAGCCAGGCGTCCTGCTCAGTCTGTAGCCTACTGACCAAAGAATATGCTTTACATGTGGACACATTTACAGCTTCAGATGCTTTGTACTTTCTTGTTAGGACGGTTAACCATGGCCAGAGCAGTGGAAACCATCCACAACAGGAACAAGATGGAGGAGCTGCCCTGGAAACTGCTTTTTATTCTCTCATTTTATGCCTCTAGGAACGTGTGATAAAGTACCTCATTCCGGACTCTCCGCAGGTCTGCTTTCACTCACTCAAAGTGCTCACCTAATGCCTCCAGACAGGTGGCCTTAATGTTACCCACTGACTTCTTCCCCATCAACTTATTAATTGGCACTTTCTGAGTTTGGTTCGGAGAAGCATGAAAGATGTGCTTAATGTGTGGCCGCATGAAGAGAAATCGCTGCAGCCCAGGGTTTAAAGATTGCCAGCTAAGGATGCAGCAGTTCCAGGAAAGGAAGAGAGAAGGAAGAAAAAAAAAAAAAAAAAAGAGCCATGTCATAAAAGATCCGCCTGCCAGACAAACACACTGGGCTTTCTCAAGCATTTGGAGGCAATCACATTAAAACCTCAGAATAGTTAGTGTCATCTCTGAAAGCGGTGTCCTGTCAGTGCAAATGGCACATGAAGAGCGCACACCAGACTGAACTGTGTTTATGTAACCCAGGATGGATTCAAGGCTCCTTGCCACTCCTTCAACCTGTCCCTTCATGAAGAGGAGAACGGGATGAGGTGAGTGAGTGGAATCCTGGCTGTCAGCCGCACTCCGGACAAGATGAAAAGCACACATGAAACTGGAGACTAATTGCCTCATTCCATGTTCCAGTGAAGCCACTGTCTACCAACCAAAAATTGTGACAGAGTTACATAGGTTTCTCCGTCTCGCATTCACTAAGCAGACAGTGTCCGCTCATCAGATAGCTGAAGCAGAACCACCAGGTAATCTACTAACTACAAACTCATGTCCCTTCATTAAAATCTAGTGTATGCGTTAAGTCTGGATGCTCAGATGGCTCCTAAATTCACAACAATACTTCCAGGTGATTTCATATTTATTGGCACATAAAAGCTGTCATTTTCCAAATAACAAGTCATCAAATGATCACATTGCTTTGTGTCTCCAGCCACAATTAACAAAGATATGTAACAACCTTTTGGCACTATGGCCAAAAAGTCATTTCCATAATAATACGAAGCATTTCAATTTTATAGAGCATCCATTGTCTCAGGCAAGGTGATTTTTTCCCTCCTCTGATTTTCTAGTTCCCTGTTAACCAAAATATGTCTTTCTTCCCATGAGCGCAGATATCACCACCTGCTTCTCCTGGCAGACTATTTCATCAAAATAAAAACAGTAGTTCCACAGAATATCCTCAAATAAAGCTGATTTTCATGTGTCATGTAAAATATTTTTGATACTCATATGTGCTCCAAGTCAGCAGACATATGAGATCTTCTGCTTCCAGATAATACTAGACGAGGGAAGGTAGAATAACACAAATATTTTCAAACATATGAATACTTAATATGGAATAAACAAAACTCATGGATTCCTTTGTTTTTATTCTGAGTGCTGAAAATATGTAGACCAAAATCTCACCTTCCCTCTATAGTCTTCACCTGAAACCCTCTGTCTGAAAATCTGACATTCTGGAAATGATGGAAGCTGTCAGGAAAGTCCCCCTGTCAGTTTATAGATGGGTCTGAATTACACAAAACTTCCAGTGGTTCCTCTCTCAAATCTCTGCTCAAATCCACACAAAACAAACAGGTCAATCTGGATCCATTTTTATTTAGCCATTTTTTATTGCACAAACTTTGTAGGACTGCCAGCAGAATTCAAAATAAAAGAAAAATAAATTGCTGGTGACCCTCTTCCTTCAACAAGTCAAACTATGTGTGTGCTTCCCTCTACTTCTTTATTCACATCTCTATATAATATCATGGATGTATTGGTTTTTTTCCATTTAATGTTATGACCCATGTTCATTTTCAACTGAACCATAAACACACAAACGCATGTACACACGAGTATGTACCATTGTGTACAATGTATTTCAATTTCTTAATCACAGCCTTTGACATAATTAGGTTACAATCACTGCAGTGGTTGATTGGCAATAAGTACTTAAATTCTTTGAATAAATGGAATTTTATTATTTCAGTCTTTAAATTCAAATTCTTTAGTAATTTATTCCTAAATAAATTAGGTTTGTTGTGTCTTTTTTTTTTTTAAGATTTTATTTATTTATTTGACAGAGAGAGACACAGCGAGAGAGGGAACACAAGCAGGGGGAGTGGGAGAGGGAGAAACAGGCTTCCCGCCGAGCAGGGAGCCCGATGCGGGACTCAATCCCAGGACCCCGGGATCATGAGCTGAACCGAAGGCAGACACTTAATGCCTGAGCCACCCAGGCACCCCTGTTGTGTCCTTTTTTTTTTTTTTTTAAAGATTTTATTTATTTATTTGACACAGAGAGACACAGTGAGAGAGGGAACACAAGCAGGGGGAGTGGGAGAGGGAGAAGCAGGCTTCCCGCTGAGCAGGGAGCCCGATGCGGGACTCAATCCCAGGACCCCGGGATCATGACCTGAACCGAAGGCAGACACTCAACGACTGAGCCACCCAGGCACCCCTTGGGGCACCTGGCTGGCTCAGTCGATAGAGCATGCCATTCTTTCTTTTTTAAAGATTTTATTTATTTCCCCTAGTGTGTCCTTTTGAAGATTATTAAAAGTAAATAAGTTAACAATAAAGAATTTAAGCAAGATCTAAACAGAAACTGTGTAACCTATCTGAGCAAAAGAAACAACATAAAAATAAATGTGATCCAACCTTTAGACGTAAATGATGTCATTTATAAAGTCCTACCTTCTCAAGAAGATGTTCTCCTGCGAAATACTATCAAAATAGTACCTTCAAGTTAGGGAATACTCCTCAAAAAATAACAGATTACATTTCTTAGACATGCTCAATGATCCCTGGTTTTGCCAGTTTACCCTGGCTCTCTGTCCCCTTCTGGCTTTGCATGTTTAATCCTCTGCATTCTAGAATATGATCAGGAGAGAATTTCAGGAGGACTCTGTAAAAGGCATGAATCTAAACTTTGCACAATTCCTCAAGTGAGCTCTCTAAGAAGAGGGGTCTTTGGCATAAAGCGTGGTCCACAGTAGGTCCGTCCATCTTCGTAAATAAACAAATGAATGAACAAATCAGTAAGTGAGGGAGTGAGTCCTCTTCATACCTGACTTTGGCTGAAAGCAGTCCATGGACCCCTGTGACACTGAGTCTGAGTCCTCTGGAACAAATCACTGCTGCTGTACTTGGAGGCAAAGGAGGGTTGAGACAAGGGGAAGAGTGTGTCTTCAACAGGAAAGTAATTATTCTCTGTTCAGATCAGCCATGAGTGATTAGAACCAGCTTACTTATGCCTTCCAGATGAACTGTTTTCCACAGAAAGTCAATAATGGCAACACAGGCTCCCGCCACCCAACCCTAAGCAATCATTCATCATCCACTTTGGGAGAAGAAAGAAACTTTATTTGCTTTTCCTAGAGGTGACGAATGAACATGAAATGCAATTTATAGATTTAAAATATGTCACTTCTCCCTTTTCTTGATATTAGTCCTTCTGACAACACAGTGTCATCAGAAATTAAATGCATCTTTACTCTCTTTGACTTGCTCCAGATTCAACATACGGCTACATGATGTGATTCTACAAAAGGTTGCCTGGCAGCTTTCTTTCTGATCCTTCCAGGTGCCTACTGAGGACATTCCTGCCTAAGGAATACTGCTACTATTTAGTTTTCCAGATTCTTTTCCTAGTGTGCTGTTCTTGGAATTCTGCCATTTACCTCTTTAGACGTGGCGGGAGTTAATAAGGGGCAGCTTCACCACCTCCAGGAACATACCTTTCCCTACCATTCCTTTGGTCCTAAATCACAGAGTATTTATCTTATGTGTTGTTCATTACTTGTTTGCTCATTTGTCTACCACCTGTCATTCATGGACTGTAATCACAAAGAGGTAATATGCTGGTGATATCTCTCTTGCTTTGCTTAAGGCTTAACTCAAGTCTAGATGCCTGTATCATAGGTGTGTA